TGTGAGTCAATGCCCTGTATAGCTATCCTTATCTCAACCAGCAAAACCCCTTGTTCCTTCCTATTATTGCTTATACTCTCTCTACAACAAGATTAGAAATAAGGGCAAAATAGTTTCTGCTGGGTATTGAGGGGGTTGGGAGGAGAGGGAGGGGGCGGAGTGGGTGGTAAGGGAAGGGGTGGGGGCAGGGGGGAGAAATGAACCAAGCCTTGTATGCACATATGAATAATAAAAGAAAAAAAAAAAGAAGGATAAATAAATAAATAAATAAATATCAGATCATATCCTCTGCATATAGGGATAATGTGACTTCCTCCTTCCCTCCTTGAATCCCTTTTATTTGTTTCTCTTGCCTTAACTGCTCTGGCTAGGAATTCCAGTCCTATATTGAATAAGAATAGAGAGAGTAAACAACCTTGTTTTGTTCTTGACTTTAGAGGAAATGATTTCAATTTTTCCCATTTAGTATGATGTTTGTCATATATAGCCTTTATTATGTTGAGGTACGTTCCTTCTATTCCTAGTTTCTTCAGAGATTTTATCAAGATGTTGAATTTTGTCAAAGGCTTTTTATGCATCTATCCTAATGATCATGTGTTTCTTGATTCTGTTTAGGTACCATATTAGGTTTTTCTTTTTCTTTTTATTGTGTTCCGTGCTTCTTAAGAACAAAGCAAAGAGTAATGTGGGAGTTAAAAGAAAGAGTATCATTGAATTTCACCTTCCCTCCAAACACTTTTCCCAAACTCCCTGTCCCTATGCTTGTGCCTCCAATTCCTTCCTTAGTGAATGAAGAACTCAATCCCCAAAGCCCTGGTACAGACTCCAGGTTCTCTTTTCCCCAGCTTCTCCCCTTTCCTCTGCCCTGTATCTCTGGGAAGGGCAGGCATCTCAGGGAGATGCATGGGAGAGCTGAGAGTGGCAACAGACACAGGGAGAGGAACTGACTGAGGAGTACAGTATAGTGAAGTGTTAATATTGAAAGTTATGCAGTATTATTTTGTTGTTTTTGTGATGACTGCTTCTTTCTGAATCCTCATTTGCTAATCTATTCATCTGGTTGGATTCATTCTTTCCTGCATTTTCCTGGTTGTATTTTTCTTCTTCTGTGTGTAGGATTCCTTCAATTATCTTCTACAGTGCTAGCTTAATGATCATGAATTCCTTTAGTTTTTGTTTGTCATGAAGTTTTTTATTTCTCTTTTACTTATCAATGATAGCTTTGCTAGATACAATAATCTAGGTTGACTTACTTTCTTTCAGTTCTTAAAATATATCATTCCGTGCTTTACTTGCTTTTAGAGTTTCTGTTGAGAAGTGTGCTGATATTCTGATGGGTTTACTTTATATGTGACTTGTTACTGCTCTCTTTCAGTTTTCAGTATTTTTTCTGTGTATTTAGTGTTTTAACTATAATATGTCTGGGGGTATTTCTTTTTGATCTTGCATGCTTTCTGTTCATAAAACCTTCTGTACCTGTATGACACTCTCTTTCTCAAGATTGGAAAAGTTTTCTGCTGTTATCTTATTGAGTACATGTCTTTAGCATGTACCTCTTTTCCTCCTTCTATATCCATGATTCATAGATTTGGTGTTTTGATGGTGTCTCAGAGGTCCTGCATGTTTTGTTCATATTCTATTTTTTTCTTTATCTTTGTCTGATTGATCTAATTGCTTTACTTTTTCTTCAATCTCTGATATTCCATTTTTAACTTGTTCCATTCTATTAGTGAGGCTTTCAATTGAGTTTTTATTTGGGTTATTTTGCTCTTTACTTCCAGGATTTTAATTTGATTTCTTTTTTTAGGATTTCTATATCTTTGTTGAATTTCTCATTTATATTCTGAATTATCTTTCTGATTTTTATTAGATAAAATTGTCTTTATTATTTCATTCATTCTATTTGAGTTCATTCAGCTGTTTATTTGTATCCTCTTTGAATTCATTCAGGTGCTTGTGCATGTTTTCTTTAATTGATCATGACCAATGATAAAAACAATGATAGAAATCACTGAATAGAAATGATAAAAATTTCATACATTTCACTATCATTCAAGTCCTTTATTGTGGAATTGTTGACTTTTGGAGAAGACATGGTGCCTTATTTTTTCATATTACCTGTGTTTCTACATTGGGATTTATGTATCTGAGGACAAGTTTTGGTTGGAAGTTTTAATAACCTGTAGTCTTTCAGTTGAAATCATCTCAATGTTTAGGCAGGACAGCGAAGTGTCTGGATTGAGGTACTATTTCTCACCACTGGACTGAAGAGCATGACTCTGTAGCTAAGCTTTCAACCATCTGCACAGGTACAGGGTTTGATCTCCAGATGTGCTCAAATTGAGGTAGACTAAAATCTCTTGTAGGTCAGTTGTCTGCTTCTATGCTGCTTTCACTACAGAAGCTTCCCTTCTTTGGGTACTGGGAGCCATTGCTGGCATCAGTGAGCTTTATAGCCTATGGACTAGGCAAGTTCCCATTTGCTCTATACCCTGCCCCGCAGTTCGTGTCCCCAAGGGCAGAAAACTTCAAAACCTTGTAGTACTCCTAAATGCATCAGAGACTGCGGGAACAAATGCTGAATTCTGCACTGACATGGGGAGAACTGAGGAACCTAGTTCCTTTGTCTGCTGATCCCAATGCTTACACTCTGTCCAGAAGTTCACCTCCCTGTGTGAAGGAGGAGGTCTAAACTTGGTGTCCCTAGTCCTGTCTGGCAGCTAATATACCCTAGGATGCAGGTCCTAGGGGCGGGCCCAGAGCTTTCAGACCTCACCTAACAGTTTACCTCCGTGGGGGGATAGGAGGTTGTGAGCATCCTTGTCAGGGAGGGCAAGGCACCATGCCCCTCACTGCCAGAGCTCCCTGCTGCTTGAACTTCTCTGTGGGACCATATCCTTCTCCTCGATCACCTCTCCTGCTAGTCTTTCACCCAGACACTGTGACAGAGTGTTCCAAGACTCCTTGAGCTATAAGTATTCCTTATTTTCAGACCTCCAGAGTATCTCAGTCTCAAGCAACAGGCCATCTCATCTTGCTATGTCTCTCCAAGATAAGGGGAGGGACAGAATGTCTTTCTGCACCAAGGCTAGCCCTCAATACTGGAGTAGTCACTGTCTCACCAAATCCCTCATTGTTTAAGGCTTGAGGGATGAGGGATTTATGCTGCTGTTAGAATTGCCAATCTGTCACCAGGGCCATCAGACTTATCTTGTGATGGTGTCTTCATCTTCATGTCTCCCTCCTGGGGATCTGGGGACAGGGCTTAGAACTATTATTTGCTGCTTTTCTCTGTTGCCTCGGTTTCCCTGTGCTTTTCTGCTGTCTTGTTACCTCTTTCATGATTCTTTATCTCCTTCTCTCTTCAAAATATGGTCTCTTATGTGTTACCCTGACTCTTTTCATTCATGGAGTCAAAACAATGGACGTTTCTAATCCATCATCTTACCCCACCTCTCAGAATATTTTATTTGTCACATCCTATGATACTTACCATATGAGTATACTTGTTGATTTTTCACTATATATTTAATAGTTGCCTATCACCAGACCCTATTTACACACTGGTGAAGAAGATGAGATATTATTTCTCCCCTCATGAAGCTTACATTTCAAAGTGGGGTTACAGACAAAAACCATAGCATAATGTATGGCAATATGATAGAGAGTACCTGAAATAGGGTAGAGATGGTGAGACAGGAGTCAGTAAAATCTTTAGAAAGATAACATTAGTACAAAGACCTGATAAATAGTTTACATGAAAACTTTAAGAAAACTTTCAAGCCAGTGGGAAAGCAAGTATAAAGATGGTCAAGACAAGACCAACCTAACAGAACAGTAGGAAGTCAGTTGCTGGGGTAATTGCCATTGAAAGCTATTACAGAGTTTAAATCAAGGTTATAATATTTTCTGTTTTATGTCTTACAAGATTGCTGACTACTGTGTCAACAATGGGCTGAAAGTAGCAAGAATGGGAGATGGAAGACCAAATGAAAAAGCTGTGGGTATAGTCCAGCCAAAAGGCTTGCTGCAGGTGGCTGAGACCAGGATACAATAGTAGAGAAGTCAATGTATATAACATGTTTTGTGTGGACAGCTAATGGGACTTGTTGATAAACGGATTGTAGTTTTAAGGAGAAAAAGTAGAATATAGGATAACACCTATGGTGGTACCATTTATTGCAATGGAGAAAGTAGCGGGGAAACTGGTGGCATAGGGCAATACAGGTTCCACTGAGGTGAAGATTGATCTATAAGTAGAACTGAGCAGAAGAGATAAAAGATGTGAAGATCAGATCATACCAGCACCACTCACCAAGTCCAAGGAACTAGAGAGGAAGCTTTAGTTTAAATTAGGAAAGGGAAATAAAAGAGTTTTGAACCAATTAACCCATGGATTCGTAAAAATGAAGTTTAAGACTTAGAAACTGAAATGGGGTTATATAATTAAAAGTAGCTTGAAAAGCCATGGAATTAAACAAAGATGTTGCTCAGGAAGATATAATGGGAAGAAATACTAATAGAGTCATCTAGAAGGAGTAATAGTAGAAAAAAAAATCAAACATTTTTATGTTTGTTCCTGAACTTTTTCAGCGTGCTAAACAAATCAGGTTCAAAAAGTGATTCAAGAATGAAGAATGGTCAGTGGTATCAAAAGTTTAACAGGATAAAGACAGGAAACTGACTTTAGCAATTTGGTAGTAATTAATCACACCTTGGTAAAAGTTTGTTTTAGTAAAGCAGAAAAGATACAACAGCAAAATTAGAGTGGTAAAAGAGTAGGAAGTGAGGAAATGAAGGTGACAACTATACATAAGCCTTTTGAGAAAGTTAGACACAAACATATGAGAAAAGAAGCAAAAGGGAAGACCATTTTTAACTATAAGGACAGGTTAATTTCTAATATGCTTCACAAAATGTCACTATTATTCCCTGGCAATCTCTGCAACCAAAATACAGGTAGTGTAGAAAAGGTAACTTTAAAATAGATTTTTTCTTACCTTCACTGATTAAATTTAATGTGTCTTGTTTTCCATCTTCTTCTTGTGAGTGGCCTGGATCTAATGAAGTCTGAGAAAGGCTAACTTCTGCTGATAACTGGTCAAGACTTTGATAACTTTTCCTATAAAATAAGGATAAAATACTAACTAAATTTCTTTTTACAAAAAAAGAATTTCTAGAAATATTCTTCAATGGTTTTCAGTTTATTAAGTTTCTGGTAAAATTTTTCCTAACATTTTCCAAGTTTTGCCTTTATCATGGCTTTGTAAATGATCTCCATACTTTTTTCCCTACCTGGTTCAGAGGGGTAACTATTTTACTCACTGATAAACAGAAAAGAAAAATAATTTGTCCAACACATTAAAACACACAATGCAACAATTTCTGGTTAGACAGATGGTTTAAAATGGCAACACTTTTTCTTTTTGTGGTGTGGGGTTTGAACTCAGGGCTTTACGCTGGTGAAAAAGGCACTCTTCCCACCTAAAAATGGGAACTTTTTTTTTTTTCATTTTTCTTTTATTATTCATATGTGCATACAAGGCTTGGTTCATTTCTCCCCTCTGCCCCCCCCTCCCTTACCACCTACTCCGCCCCCTCCCGCTCCCCCCTCAATACAAAATGGGAACTTCTAATTGTGTTTTATAATTTTCAAAAAAGCAGAAAATCTAAATGTTATTCTAAATGAAGAAATAAAAATTGGTATAATTTAATAATGACCTATTGTCTCTAACATTTTAGATTCCTCAACGTCTTGAAAGTATCACTGACAGTTATTACCAAAGAAAAACAAATTATTATAAATTTCTATAATTTAGAAGTTTAAAAAATGTTGGGTAGTAAGTACTTGTTTTAATATACCACCAACATAATGAACCTCTTTCCCTCTTCTGTTTGTTGTTCTGAGGCTATTTTTCTGTTGTTAATTAGTAATTAATTATATTAGAGGATAAATTTAGTTATAAATGGAAAGCTAATGAAAGCTTAATTTCTTTTGGCAGTACTGGGGTTTGAACTCAGGGTCTTGCATGTGCTAGGTAGGCGCTCTACTGGTTGAGCCATATCCCCCAGCCAAAAAGCTTATAATTAATCTTATCTCATATTTGGTTTTCAGAATAAAACCAATGAAAAGTTATATGCAGCTTTGGTTTTTTATTTGTGTAGGCAACAGAATTCATTATCATTTATAAATACACATGGTCTATGAAAAGGAATGTTTAAGCTCAATGTCTTTTCACAAGGTAGTCAAATTCCATAGTGTGTGTGTGTGTATGTGTGTGTGTGTGTGTGTGTGTGTGTGTGTGTTACTAGGGATTGAAACCAGCACTTGCTAGGCAAGCATTCTATCACCTGAGCTACAACAGGGCCCTAGCTCTCTTGTTTTATTTTGTTTTTGAGATAGAATCTCACTAACTTTTTCCAGGCTGACTTTGAACTCAAGATCCTTTTATCTCTGTGATCACAGGTGTGTGTCACTATGCCCAGCTTATAACAGTATTTATAGGAAAGCACATATAACTTACATGATGTATTTCATAGATAGGTATCTTTTCATATACATGAGTAGATTCAGTTACAGATTTATCAAAGGTACATTTATTAAATATGGTTTGAATAGTTATGCCCAGATGCTATCTTATGTTAGGACTCTATCCAAAATGAGAAGAAAATGGAAAAATTTTATTCACTAAAACTAGATTATACATTAACAAGAACAATCAAAATAAATAAATAAAATAAATTGGGCAGAGCCCAATAGATTTACCAAGACAGTACTTTAAATTGCTTTTGTACTTACTCTTCATCAATCTTATTAAGATAAAATTTTGTAGGATATCCTAGTGAGGGGATACATACAATACATATCTGTTTTTTTCCCTAAGAAATAGAGAATGAATAAGATGATGGAATAATTTCATTAGCTTATAATGCAAATAGTCTTCTCAATTTATACTATGATGACTTTTCAAATGTTCAGAGTATAAAAGTCCTTAATTATAATTTTTGAGTAGCAGAAAATTCTACTATTGCAGGAAACCTCTTGTAGAGTGGTTAGCACTTTTATAAGCTATATGATGATATGCAATAAAAACAATACCCAACATGTATAAAGTACTTGTGTAATCCCATTTCTACATTATATATACATATATTAACTTATTCAATCCTCACAAATGCACTAAGAAGATGGAATTATTACTACTTCTATGCCAGGATCACAGAGGCCCTTATCCCAAAAGGGCTCACGGAAGGAATGAACAAGACAAGACACATATCAAGACAGCCAGCAGGCTGATGACCAACCGGCAAATTTTTTTTTTCTCAGCCAGCTTTAGACAAAAGAAGAAGAGACTTAAACATCAAAAACACTCTGACCTAGTTACAACCTTTCTGTGTTTTCCACCCTGCATTCTTACTGCCAGTGTCCTTGACTAAGTATAAACTTTTTTTTAGTCAAGGGAAACCATTTTAGTGCTCCTTCCCACCATGATAGAGACATGGTACACCTGCAGATTCCGACCTTGTTGGAATGCTGCTAAGCCAGTGACCTTGTCAGACTGTGGCTTTTGGTTCCCAACACTTCTACTTGATAGCAGAAGAAACTTGAGGCACAGAGAGATTAGATTTAAGCCTGGTAGCCTGGCTCCAATTCTGTTCCCTTATCGACTATTTTATCTTCTTCTAGTACAGAAAGAAGGATTTGACTCCCTATTTTATTAGAAATCCTTCTCAAAGAACAGTCTTCTTTTCTGAGATAGATCATGTAAACCATACTTAATTATATCACTGGAAATTTCACTTGATCTTCATTAAAATGTATTTATTTAGCTATAAAGAAAGCAGGAACACAGGAATCTAATGAGCAACTATATGTTTCTTTTCCAAATTAGTTTTCTGTGCCCAATAGATATATGAGGCTTGTTTTTTAAACTGATGGCTTAAGATGAGTTTTTGACACTGATTTTTCATCATAGGAAATTTTTTAATGTTTTTAAATTTAAAAATTATATGTAGAAGTATTTACAAACCAGGCATGATGGTGCATGCCTCTAATCCCAGCCCTTGGGAGGCAGAAGCAGGAGGATCATGAGTTTGAGGCCAGTAGCCTGGGGTAAAGAGCAAGATCCTGTCTCAAAGAAATAAAATTCAGCCAGAAGTGGTGGTACACATATCTAATTCCAGCTACTTGGAAGATAGAAATAGGAGGATCACTGTCTGAGACTAGGTGGGCAAAGTGTGAGACTCTATCAAAAAAGCAAACATAAAAAAGCAACAAGGACTGGGGACATTGCTCAAATGGTAGAATGCTTTCCTTGCAAGTACAATGCCCTGAGTTCAATCCCCAGTACTACCAAAAAAAAAGTATTTGCAAACAACAAAATATCCATAAGGAAAAGACATGAAATTCATTGAATACTCTAAGGACCAAGAGTTTGACAGCATACATTTATACCAATGGAGAGAAGAATCTTTGAAAATAGGCCCTGAGGACAGTACCACCAAATGAGATTTCCTTTTATTTTTTTTCTTTTTGGAAGTACTGGATTTGAACTCAGGGCCTCATGCTTTCTAGGCAAGTACTCTATTGCTTGAGCCACTCTGCTAGCCCTGTTTTGTGTTGGGTATTATCAAGAAAGGTCTGGAGAACTATTTGCCTGGGACTGGCTTTGAACCACGATCCTCCTGATCTCTGCCTCCTGAGTAGCTAGGATTACAGGCATGAGTCACAGACACCTGGCCCAAATGAGATTTCTTGATGACTACAGAAGTTCCTTTCAGACTATCACACTTCTGAATCCAAAGTGAGTTTGAACCTTCTACCTTTTCATTTGTGACATTTAGTGAATAATCCTTGATTTTAGAGACTTTACTTAACCAAATGCCAATGGATATTAGAAAGAGAATTTGGTAGACAATGATGTTTTGAAGTAATAAAAATTCCAAACCATAATTAAATATTTTACTCATAAGATATTAAAAACAGTACCATTCAGTATCTCCCTTGCTTAAAGATGACCTACAAACTCACTATTTGGGAGGAGATAAATTCAGTTGCTTTCAGTAGGTAAGGAATGGGTCTAGCATCTACATTCTGATTTCCAATGAGACACCCTCTGACAAACATTTTGTTGTCCTATAGTAAACTATCTATGAGAGTTCTGTTTTTAAAAAGCCACAGCCAAGCCTATCCTAGAATTTCAGACTCATTAATATCAACTCATTAGATGTAATCCACCAGACACATTGATCCAATTGACAACTATTGCTGTTTCTCAGAATAGAACTTAATCAAAATCAGAACACAAAACAGTGAGAATCATGCATATGACTATATAAAAATTTAAAGTTTGATATATATCACTATAGTGTCAAACATAAATTAAACTTCTAAGAATTATGTTATATGTCATGGGCATCTGGTAGATAATAAAATTTATTATATCCAATATCAAACTATTTGAACCACTCAAATATAAACACTCATATATGAAATTGGGTACCAAAGAACGGCCAATTTAAAGAAACTGAACGATAGACCTGAATTCACTTATTACTTAATCTTTATACAATCTTAGTTTTTCCTTTGTTTTGAGACAGTCTCATTCTGCAGCTCACTGGCCTAGAATTCACTATGTATCCCAGTCTGGCTTCAAACTCTCAATCGTATTGCTTTATCCTTCTGAGTTCTAGGATTATAGGTATATGCTACTGTGCCTGGCTCTACAATCTTACTTTTTATATCAATGATCAGAAATAATGATATTGACAATCTATGTCACTTATTTGCCCCAAAGATGTGTTGAGATAATAATTTATATTATCTGGTAGTCATCAAGAAACAGAGTGTGATATATGGAAGACTAGTATTATTCACATGTAAGCAATTTAAAATATGTACACACTGTATATAGACAAACATATGCATGTACATGGAGAGAGAGCCATGCTATTTTTTATTCTTGTTTTTTTTTCACAGAAATGTTTAAGAAGCAACATAATCATTTGCTATAGCAAAATATCTATATTCTCTTAATCTACTAAAATTTACAAAAGAATGCAAGGAAAGTCTAATAAGGAAGGATGTATGTGAGTCAGGTTAATGCCTAATTTATGAATTGTAAAATATTTGTGCAGCCTTAGTGCTTTAGAGACCCTTACTCCAAACAAATGTTTGAAAAACACACATGAAAAGGAAAACTCAATACATTTAAAGTGAAAGTCATTAAGAAAAACACAAAAGCCTAAATAGTAGTTCATGATAGGCCAATCCAAGTGATAGCCAAACCGGGAATCAATGATAAATTTAAAAGACTAAAAAAAGCTTAAGTAGAAAATATGATGACAATGAATCAGATCTTTTGGGATAAGAATAGGTGGATTAGGTAATAATCTAACAAGATTACAGAACAGATAATCTAATAGGATTATCTAGAAAGCTCATGTGACTTAAATTTTATGTATAAAGGATATTAGAACTGACTAGAAAGAAAAGGAAACAAGTACTCTATGCTATATTAAGGAAATATATTTTATATATTTGTTTATTGCTGAGTTTTTACATAAACCTGTAACATTTTATCAAGTTTTCATATATGATATTGCCATCTTTGAAATAAAGGAAAACCAGCCTGGTTAATCTTGCTAAGTCTAAGTAATCAAGGAATAAACTGGAAATCCTACTTTTAAAGTTTTATAAGCAGCATAGAAAATAGAAATAAATTTCAGATCTTTTATTGTGAATGGGATCCTTGCATGAATAGGTGACAACATAACCAAGTTACCAAACAGCTCAATTTAAAAGACCAACAAATTCATTAAATGAGCATAAAATACTTATTAAATTAAATAAACAGGAAGCCATTAGTTTAAGGCTGTACCACTACGTTGAGTAGCAACAAACTGTAACCTAACTTAGTACATAAGGGCTAGAAGCATGGCTCATGTGGTAGAGTGCATAACTACCAAGCACAGACCCTGAATTCAAACCCCATACCACCAAAAAAAAAATAGTCTACCTTAGTACATAAACTGAAACCTAACTCATGAGTACATTTTTTCATTAATGAACTGCTAAGCTTTAGCCAATAACAGACAGGCAATTTATCATACTACACCCAAGTAAGATAAATGTCTCATCACACTGTGCCCAAATGAGGTTGAAGCCAGCCAATCAGATGATTTTTCTATTTTACTTTCTGCATAGTCTATAAAAGCTTTCTGCTTCTACTGCTGGATGAAATTCTCTGAGCCCCCTTTGGTTCTGAGTACTGCCCGATTCATGAATCATTCTTTGCTCAAATAAATGCTGTTAAGTTTAATTTGTCTAAAGTTTTGCTTTGAACATTTTTTTCTTCTTAAAGTTATCTTTGGCAGACTGGTAGAATAAAGTCACAGAGCTCCTAGAAAATAGGCTTAGGCACCTCATATCCTTTGCAGGAAAAATCTACTAGCATTAAAATTAACAAATTGTAAGGTTAGTTTCTCTAAATTATGAAGAGAGATAGCATTCCTTATTAAAAGGATTTTAGCCATCTCTTCCATAATTTCTAGGTTCTCAATAAATGTTGTTGAATTTACCTATGATTCTGGCCAAATGAAAAGGAGTTCATGATCAGGTAGTTCAAAAGTCTTGGCTTATAAATTTGAGGACAGCAATAACTGTATTCTCATTAAAAATTCTGATTAGTTTCAAACTTGATTTATAAGAAGCTCCTCTATTATGAAAATCCAAGTCTCCATTTTTAAATGAGACAGCTGGAATTATATATTCAGAACAACTGGGGATTAGCTGATCATTTTAATTTTATATATGATTCAGAAAGTAGACCTTGGAATGTTAGGTGGATATACACTGTTTCATATGGAAGGTACAGCATTATATTAGAGAAAAAAGATGACATAGGGTATAAAAATATTGAATGAGAAGCTACTAAGTGCCAGAAAACTCACTGCCTTATTTGATATATAATTTTATTAGGCAGGTATTAGTCCTAGTATGATATATACAGGAAAGGAAGTGTTACTCTGTGTTGCTCAGCCAGTAAGTAGCTGAGAATATTTACTATTGCCTACTGACTTTGAACTCTAGGTCCAGTGATTTCTGTACACACTCCAGCAGTATAATTTTTGTTTAGAGATATCAGTTTACAAACAGGGCCATCTTCTAAAAGCAGTACCAACAGAAGAGGACAAGTCATATTAAAGGATGATACCAGAAAGGAACAGATGTCTCTTATTAAGGTAATGGAATAACGGCATCCAGAAGCATTAAATTAGGGTGAGGCACAGTGGCTCATACCTATAATCCCAGCTGCTCAAGATGTGGAAATTAGAAGGACTGCAGTATGAGACCAGCCTTGACAAAAAGTTAGCAAGGCCCCATCTTAACAAATAAACAAGGAGTGTGGTTCACATATGTAACCCCAGCTACCTGGAAGGCATAGGTAGGAGGGTCACTATCCTAGTAGGTCAGCCTGGGCAAAAAATGATACCTACCTAAAAAATGACCTAAAGCAAAAAGGGCTGGAGATGTGGTTCAAGTAGCAGAGCACTTGCCAAGCAAGTGCAATGCCCTGAGTTCAAAACCCCAGTACTGCCCCCCGCAAATGAATGAAGTCTGGATTCTTGCTCAACAGATGAATAGGCCATTTCCTTGCCTTTTGCTGCTGCTATACTGCTTTGTAAAAACCAGACACTATTATACATGCGTAGGTATACTAGAAATAAATATTCCACTTAAGACTCTCTATTGGCGCCTTTGTAGTAACTTTGCAGCAAGCAAGAATCCGCATCTTCTGGGTAAAATATTTTGCCTCCTACTATCTAATGTGATGATGTGGATATTGCAATTAAAAGGTAGTCTTTTAATTTAGAAAGACCTAATGTCATATTTTTGCAGCTAAAAACTAGGAACATCTTACGTGTCATACATAAAATAAATATACCAAGTATTTCTATAAACTCGATTTTTAATCATAAACTAGAAATAACAAAATATTTTTCTATCAATTGTGCCACAGAAGGGTAATATGACACATAGTGTAAGATACATATTAGTTATTCTAAACTTCCTTAAGAGTATAAAGGAACTAGATCCTAATGTGTAGAACATCCAAAGTCAAAACCTGAATAATAGTAAGAAACCTGATTTTAAAATAGTCACACTGATATATTCCACAAATAATCTACTCACTCTACTTGTCTCTAACAATCAATGAAACAAGAAGACTAAAGTCCCTAGCAATTCTTTTATTTTCAATTCTATCTTTGATAAACATCAACAAAAAGTCACAGAGTAAAAAAGGTGGACGTAATGTCCATAGTAAAACAGTTCTTGTAATAACTGAGTCAAGAAGCATTAAAATCTGGGTCCATGGCTCAACAGACAAACAAAACTGTTGCTACTCATTACCTAGTAAGGGACTCTAAGAAACACACACAGAAGTGTGTGGCTCTACCAGTGAAATTAGAAAATAAGTCCTTTGCAGAAGAGTAGAGAAAGAAACAAAAGAGAAAGGACGGGAAGAGAAAATAAAAGAAAGAAAGAAGAAGGGAAATGAGAGAAAAGGTAGGAAGGGAAGGAAGAAAGCAAACAGAAGGGGATTGGAGGGAAATATATCAGAAAATATCTATTGGAGGAAAAACAGAAAATTAACTGAAGGCAGAAAAACAGAGTGAAAACAAACAAGTAAGATGTAATGGTAGCTAAAAGCCAAAAGAAGGTAATATAATTTATGATTTTCAAAATGAAGACTATCTAAGATTCTGTAGCTCATTCAATATTGAGATATTGTGACTAAGTGAAATAGTCCTGAATATTAGGATGAAGAAGTAGGAAAAGGGTTTGTGGCCCATAGGTGGGATAGTTTTATTTTTTAGCTTCTAAACATTAGATTTATTGAAAATGAACTCACCAAGAACAACTATAGGTCTTTATAGCCCTTCAGAAGATGGAACTTTGTGTTTTTAGACAAACAGGAAAATTAATGTTAGGCAAATACAATAACAAAACTAAGATTCAAAAATAGATGGCTCAAAAACACAAGCTCATGGATATAACTGAAGGACTGGCTGAGAATTAGATAGCTGGTACAACAATAATGTGTAAGAATTTCTCAGCTTTTTCACTTCCCCAGGGTGCCTTGGCTTTAACATATTAATACATCCGCTTCTTAATGTAACCTTATCAAAGTAGTCCTAAAGTCTATCTTTGCTGTAAGGTAATAATAAATTCAGAAGAGTAAGACACTAAAGTGGATAGCCACATGTTTTGGTACAACTAAATTTGTAATTAGTTGGAAAAAAAAGTATTACACTTACTCATACCACTGTTTATTGTGTTTTCGGTAAAGCAACGTATCCAAGGCAACAGCATTGACATCCAGAGCTCCTGGGGAAGGCCACTGGTTGGTGAGGTGGGCAGTTAACTCTTGTCTTGATCTTAAATCATTATTCTTTAGCACAGTCCTGTGAATATTAAGATGGTGAGTGCTTTTGTTTTCACTGTTCAGTAATGGCAGAGGAACCTAATGGCATCAATTTAGGCCCCGAAAATTCATCCTTTAAAAATGGTATGTTAATAGACTATGAACAGAATTACAGCAAGATTGGTTGGGACTGTGTCTGTTTGGTCTTTTGCAGTTATGTGCTTTCTCTTTCTCTCTAATGGTATAATAAATCACTACTATTGAAATTCAATCCTTTCCATAGAGATTATTATGAAAAGACTAAAGGATCCAGCAGCATTTTATATCTTAACTAAAAAACAATGATGATATTCTAAAATACAGGCTATTAGGTGCTATCTAAAAAAATAAAGACTTCATGTGAATATTTTCTAATTTAAAAACTCAGAAATAACCTACAAAAGCAATCTAACTCAAGTAAACAAAAAAACAAGTGAAATTTTAAAAAATACATTAAAATATACAATAAAAAATCCATGAGATTCCTATTAGTATTTTTGACATAATGACTATTAATAAATCTTCATGAAAATGATTAAATCACTGACAACTACACTGATTTTTCAATTATTGGAATATACATTTAAGAAATATTTCCTGATGATCCTCTGAATTTCATTTGTAACTGTTGTAATATCCTCTTTCACATCTAACTTTATTAATTTCTGTCTTTTCTCTCTTTTAGTTAGTTTGGCTAAGGGTCTGTCAATCTTTACCTTTTCAAAGAAACAACTCATTATTTTGTTGGTTCTTTTTTTCTTTTTGTCTCAATTTTATTAATTTCTGCCCTTATCTTTATTATTTTTTCTGTTTACTAATTTTGGGCTTGGCTTTTTCTTGTTTTTCTAAGACCCTGAGGTGCATCTTTAGGTTATTTATTTTAGATTTCTCTGATTTTTCTAATGTGTCCACTCATAGATATAAGCTTCCTCTTAAAATTTGTTGTATTTTCATTTGATTCTAGGATTTCTAAAATTTTCTCCCTTATATTCTATAGGTGTATGTTAAGTCCATTTGCTCTATAGTACAGTTTAATTTAGAAGTTTTTCTTTGTTGTTGTTGTTGTTTTGGTCTGGATGATCCATCTGTTCATGAGACGGAGGTACTGAAGTACCCCACAATTACTATATCTGTACCTAACTGTCTCTTCATGTCCTGCAGTGATTTTTTAAAATGAAATTAGGTATACCAATGTTTGGTGCATATAAATTTATAATTGTATCCTCTTGATGGATTGTTTCCTTGATCCAAATATTGTGACCTTCTTTACCTCTTTGACTAACTCTGGCTTGAAGTCTAATTTGTCAGATACAAATATAGCTACTCATGTTTATGTTTGGTTTCCACTTGCTTCATGTAACATATTCCATCCTTTCACATCCAAGTCTGTATATGTCTTTGCCAGTGAGGTGTCTCTTGTACACAACAGAAAGTTAGATCTTGTGTTTTAATCCAATCAACTAATCCACATCTTTTAATTGGAGAGTTAAGACCATTTACATTCAGGGTGATCAATTGAGAGTTGTTTGCTTATTCTTGTGATTTTTTTTTCCTGTTGATTCCAGTACTATTTTGTTTTGTTTTTCCTTCTCCCTTGTTCCTCTTGGGAGTTTTCTGGTTGAACATGTTTGATTATTTCCTTCTTCTCAATTGTTTGTCTATTCTTCTCTTGAGATTTTTTTCTTTCTTGACCTCTCATGCTTATTACTGTCTTTCTTTCCCATCTGTGTGTAGGATTCCTGTATCTTCTGCAGTGCTGGCTTAGTGGTCATGAATTGCTTTAGTTTGTGCTTATCTTGGAAGGTCTTTATTTCTCAATCAATTTTAAAGAATAACTTTGCTGGATATAGTAATTTTGGCTGGCAGGTATTTACTTTTAGGGCTTAAAATATATCATTTCATTCTCTAAGTTTCTGCTGAGAGGTCTGATGTAATTCTAATGGGTTGACCTTTGTAAATAAATCTGGCATTTTTTCTTTTGCATTTTTAAATACTCTTTCTTTGTTCTGTTGTCTTAGCATTTTGGCCAAAATGGAATATAGAGAGGTTCTTTTCTGATATTTATTTGGGGTTCTATATGCCTCCTGTATTTGGATTTCTGTATCTTTCTCAAGATTTGGGTAGTTTTCTATTTCCTTGAATAGGTTTTCTATGCCTTTAATTTATTTTTCAGCTCCTTTGGCCCCATGGATTCTTTGGTCTCTTGATCATGTTCCTAGAATTCTTGAAAGTTATGGTCATGCATTTTCTTTTCCACTATCACTCTCTGAATGCAATATTTTGTCAATTTTGTCTTTAATACCTGATATTCTTTCTTCTTCTTGATCTAGACTTTGGTGATTGATGATGTGTAACTTTTGTGTTTTTTATTTATTCTTTCATTTGCAAGGTTTTTTTTTCAAAATCTCAATATCCTGAGGAATTTCTCATCTATGTTGCTGACTTTTTCATCCCTAAGGTTGTTTGACAACCTTACTTTATCCAGCTATTTGTTTAAATTCTACTGAGGTCATTGATCATCTTTTTAACTATTATGACATATTTATTGTGGTTGGTATTCAGTCACTGATCATTTTTAAAAGTAGACTTTTGAATTCCTTTTGTGGCCTTTCAGCCATTTCACTATTTTTGGCTTTAGTTTTTGAGGAGCTATGAGCTTTTGGAGGAGTCATATTGCCTTTCTTTTTTATGTACATAACTCTGGTGTTATATGTGGACTGAGGGCTGAGCTAGTCAAGGGTCATTTGTTAACATCAGGGATTCATTCATTTTAGAAGCTTCTCTTTGTGTATCTGGAGCTACTACTAGCCCCAATGAGCTTTACAATCTGTAGGCTGGGCAGCTTTGCATTTGCTCCAGCCCTGGTCAGTTTTTTGCAGCCAGGCACAGCAAATGTCCAAGCGTAGGGTTTTCTCCTTAGTCCATAGGAGAGTGGGGAGGAACAAATAGAAGTCTAGATCTGCACTGGATGGGGAACACTGGAAAAACCCATTGCTCTGTATGCTGGTATCATAGCTTTCAGACCCTGTTCTGCAGTAAATCACCCTGTAGGAGGGAAGAAGCTGGGAAGAGTGTGGTCCACTGGACCTGGACTCAAAGCTCTCTGTCACAACTGACAGCAACCACACTCAGTAGGAAGGGCACTCCAGAGGCTGAAATACTCTATGGACATGAGCTCAGGTTTAGATTTCTGTAAAGTTTTATTCTTTTATATATTACTATGTTGAAATACGTATCTGCCTAGCCTGACCATGTCTCTGATGAATGTACATAATTTCAAAACAATGTAGATTTTATAAACACAACTTCCCATTGAAAGACTGAGTATAGCTTTCCTACAAAATAGTTTGAAAGAATACTGGACAGTTTTCAGTTTTGGTTGTTTTATTTTTCAAAGGAAAAATAGCTCAGTATCTTAAGCAAGACCTTCTTGGTATAACAGCAACAACAATCAATAAATATAATTTATTTTGAAGAAACTAGATAAATCTTGAAAAGTCCTTATACTTTCTAAAAATACAATTTGCTACTATATATAAGTATATAATTTGCCACCCACTTTATTTCTACTTAGGTTTATAATCTTTCTTCCTATGATTATTGATGGCTTATCTTAAAGTAAGTATAGTACAATTCAATGAAATACAATAATAATAATAATTTGGACTCATAAACACTAAAGAATTTTCTCTATATATCCTTCATATATTTTCAGGAGGAAATTATTTCTCATTTTTAAAAATTCAGTTATTTACCATCTCTCTTTAAAATAGCATTCTACAACCAAGTTGCTCATTAAGTAATTTGCTAAAATTCAATTTGTGATAATCTGTCACATGAATATGAAGTATCCCTTTTAATGATGTGCAGTATTTTATAGAATTTTAAATTTTCTTAGTAGATGTTCATCTCAGGTAAAAATGTGCAGTCCTAATAAAACATATTTCAATGCTACCATAAAATCTAATAATACTTTAAATTTGCTTCTAATAATACTTAAAACTTTACCACAATTATTTTCATCATGGGATGATTTGCACCCATGTCTCTGTTTGTGCTTTTCTTTTTACCTAGAATACTTTTCCTCTTTTCTCCCTTGGTCACCTGGAGAACTCCTGGAAAATTCTGTTCCAATGCCAATGTCCTAGTGATACTTTCTTTGGACCATTATTCCTGTACTGCCTCTGTAAAGTATATATCCTTCTGTTGCTGTACTTATGTACACACACTCAGATATACCAACATATCACTTAGATGTCAGTTGTTCAGTAGACTTTCTGATTCACCTTTTAAAATCTCAGTATTGAGCACATTAGACAATATTATTATAATTTAGAATGGAAAACTGATCTGATACTGGTAACTTCATAGGGCTCCTGAGCATGTCATACAATCTTTCTCATCTGTCCACAGCCTATATATCCAGTCTCCAAAATACACAAGTACTTGTCCTCTAAATTTGAATGATGAAAGCCACTATGCATTTTCCTATATTTATTTCACTCTTTAATGTCTCTTTTTTTAGCTTATCTATTTTCTTTGCCTGTAATACTCACCCTTTCCAAATGTCTCTGTCACCTTAAGGAATTGGCATAAGCATCATAACTTCTTTAAATTCTTCCTAGTTAACTTTCTTTCATGAGAAAATATTCATCCCCACTGTACACAATACAAGCCTCTACCATAGCATGGGTAATAGCTTACTGATCTTATTATTTCTTTATCTGTGTCCTCTGTAAGCACTTAGATAACAAAAACTAGAGCTAATTTATTTCTGTATTCCTAGAAAAGGGGTTCAAAAAGTATCAATAGAATAAACAATTACTGAATTACAAACAGCAAGTTTATCATTATCAAAATGAGCTATGGTCCATAGTTCTGAGTTTGAAAGACAGTAAAGTATTTCAGGCACCTTGAAAAATAATCTATAATCTGCAAGGAAAGATAGCAGTATAGGATACAGTCTATTCCCACTATTGGAAATTAAAGACCAATATCCCT